CTCTCTCTCTCTCTCTCTCTCTCTCTCTCTCTCTCTCTCTCTCTCTCTCTCTCTCTCTCTCTCTCTCTCTCTCTCTCTCTTTTCCGCGTAACCCACTCCTGTCACCCTTCCACCACCACGCCAATGCCCCTTCACTGTGCACCGCGGCACACCCCGGAGACCACATGCTCACGAAGAGCATCCCGCTGTGCATGCGCCAAAATCTGCCTTGCAGGCGATGTCATCGGGGCCGCTGAAGGAGGGGGTGGTGGCGGTGGAGGTGCAACTGGTGGCTGCCCATCACCCCACTGCCGAAGCATGTCGTCATCCGCACGATCGCCCCAGTCCAGTAAGAGGTTATGTAAAATACAGATGGTGTGAAACTGATCGGACACCGTTTCTAAGTGACATATGTGAGTTCTATGAAACAGTTGATAACGAAGCTTCAAATGACTGTTCCCTCTCTCAGCATCCGATCTGACAACTTTAAAATGACCGTCAAAAGCTGCAATAGCCCCTGTTGCGCTCGTATGGAGTGACAATCCATGGCAATAGGGGGTACCCGCCATCGCCCAATAGATAACCATGTGTCACTCCGGGCACAGTGCCGCGAAGATGGTGAAACGGGTCATTCACATCATCAACGAACAGCTGACCACTCTCCGCCCGTCTGAACAGTGACGAATTCCGTAGGATGCGACCATCATGCACAGTCCCCGGCCACCCACAGTTGAGATCCAAAACCCGAAGATCCTCATCGAAGACGATTTGCGCGACGATGGAGAAACGCTTAGTGCGCCCCGAGCAGTACTCGTCCCCATTCTGGTTCTTTGGCTTGTCCACATACAGGTGTGTGCAATCAATGCACCCCCAACAATTGGGGAACCCCTTCTGCGCATATGCTTCCATCGTTCTATGTGGTTTACCGTAGTCGCCAAATGAGATCACCCGGGGAAAACAGCGAATGAGTGCACATGTGACATCACGTATCGCCCTTATCCCGCTCGTTTTTCCCAACCCAAGAGCGGAACTGCTGTGCCAGTAACTGTCCCCATGCGCCCACCGGTGAATAGCGTAAGCTAAAATCCGAGCAGGATCAAGCGGACGACAGAATCTGGCCACACAACGCTGCAGGTACGGACGGAGAGCATCTAGCAGTCGATCAAAAGTCTGACGATGCATCCACAGTAACGACATGTAATGGATATCCTCAGCATCATCTCTGATTTCCAGATCCCTCCGCATTACCCACCAACGTGGGGACTGTCGTGGTAGAAGACCCGCCGCAGCTATCAACAGTGGCCACTGCCACAACCCTGACATGTTGGACAAGTGAGAATTCCTGAACACCATCCGATCCTTCCCCTTGTATGTGGCCCCCCTGCTTCCCAACAACGGTCTACGAGATTGAATACCCAAAAACTCCACACACCTCCGAGCG